AAGAAAACGAAACCTTCCCTACCCTGGAGGAGCTTATGGTCAGAGCTGAGGTGAAGGAAGGTAGGCAATGATATTACTAATAAGAATAATAGTAACTAACATTTATATATTTAGTTAGGGCAGCTGGGTGGCACAGTAGATAGAGTGCCAGGTATGCATTCAGGAAGACTCATTTTTGTGAGTTCAAATCTAGCCTCAGACAATTACTAGCTATGTGACCATGGGAGAGTCACTTTACCCTGTTTGTTTCACTTTCCTCATTTGTAAAATGAGCCAGACAAGGAAATGGCAAACCACTCTAGTATCTCTGCCAAAAAACAAAAGAAAACAAAAAATGGGGTCATGAAGAGTCAGACATGACTGAACAACAATGTAAATTTCGTAAGAGTTTGAAGGTTTTCAAAGTGGTTTGCGTTTATTATCTCATTTGCTTCTTGTGATAGCCCTTTGAGGCAGGTACTATTATCATCGCCATTTCACAGATAAAGAAGCTGAGGGTGACAAAAGATAAATGATGTGCACAGCATAACACAGCTTTAAGTGTTTCAGGCAGGATGCAAACTTCTGCCTTCCTGTCTCCAAGCTTGACATTCTAGTCACCATGGCATGATGATGAAATTGAATTGATATGACATATTTTTCATACTGTCACAAATAAGAATGATTTATTTTGCATAATTCCACAAGATAGAAATAAAATCAATGAATAGAATCATAAAATTACAATGCTCTGTTGATAGTTTCCAACTTATCCTTTATATAGCTTACTCACACATAGTTACTTATGTATTATCTCTCCCATTAGACTGTGAGTCCCTTGAGAGCAGTCTTTAGCTTTTCTTTGGATCCCTAGTACTGCCTGGCACATAGTAGGCACTTAATAAATGTTTATTGACTGACTCATTGAGGGAGGTTGATTTTGCATCAACATTTATTCAACACCTATAGGATTAGTCATCGTCCTATGTATAGTGTCTTCCACCCCCAGTTCTTCCCTTCTCTACGTTAACTATCCCTATTTCCTTATATTATACAAAGTAGCAAATTACTTTCTCAAAATGTGATACTCAGAAAGGAACACAATGCAGTAGATGTAGTGTGACCAGTGCAACATTCAATGAGAATATTAATCTTCCTTGGTTTGAATAATGTGTAGTAACAGATAATTAATACCATCTAATAATGCATTGGTTTTTTTTTTAAATAAACTGCATCAGGGGCAGCTAGGTGGCGCAGTGGATAGAGCACTGGCCCTGAAGTCAGGAGGACCTGAGTTCAAATCCAGCCTCAGACCAAACAGTTGACACTTACTAGCTGTGTGACCCTGGGCAAGTCACTTAACCCCAATTGCCTAAAAGAGAAAGAAAGAAAGAAAGAAAGAAAGAAAGAAAGAAAGAAAGAAAGAAAGAAAGAAAGAAAGAAAGAAAGAAAGAAAGAAAGAAAGAAAATTAAAAAAAATAAACTGCATCACAATGTTTGCTCATATTGAATATGTAGTCAATTATAAATTCCAGTTCTTTTTCTTATGAGCTGCTCCCAGGTCTTCTAGTATTGTATTTATACAATTAATTTTTTGAACCAAAGTGTAATACTTTATATCTGTTCTTGTTAAATTTTATGTCATTAGGCTTAGCCCATCATTCCAATGTATCAATATCTTTTAAAAACCTGATTCTGTCAGTGCATTAGGTATTTCTCCCAACTTTGTGCTGTCTACAAGATTAATAAGCTTTAATTTTAATAATGTATTTCTTTGTTCAAATTGTTAACAAGGCATGGAATGGTCCAAAGCTTTGTGGCACATTCCTCAAGACCTCCCTACTGTATTAATCATGTATGAGAGTAAGTTTGTTTATATGAGATGAAGATTCCTTTAGTCTTGTCTCTTTCTCTTCTGAAGGGAAAAAAGCCACAATTCAGTCTTATCAGCTCACAAAAGAGATTCAAAGCTAAGTGAAACCATAGACTTTCAACCTAGAAGGCAGTTAAGTCCTTTTTATTCTCTTTATAATTTTCTCCTTATATCAAAACTAAATTTTCTTCCTGTGATGGCCTGCTGTTGCTAAAGTCCGATCTACAAAAAAGTCTTAAAGATTAAGTAATGTCTACCTATTTTAGCATTCTTACCAGGGCCTCTATGCCTCCGTCTGCTTGTAACCAAGACCAAAAGGCCATGGTTACCAAAGGTTTTCAATGTTTTTGTGTTATGGGGTTAGTGAGGTAAATGAATAAAAGGAATTCACTGGACCTGCTTCAGTGATCATCTGTAACTGAGGCCATTCTTCTTGTTTTGCTTCTGATGTCTGTCAACAACAAAAACATTGCTAGTAATGGGGACCATGATCTTCCCGGTGCTTTTTCTCTGCCTCAGTATATGCCTGCCCCTCCCTCTTGGTTCTTTTTTTCTCTTCCTCTCTCTCTCTATTTCCTCTATCCTTTTCTCCCCTCTTTCCTTCTCTCCTCCTCTTTCTCTCTTCTCCCTTTTCCCCCATTCTCCCTTTCCCTCTGTCCTTCTGTCTCTCCTTCTTTTTCCTCCTCTCAGCCCTATGTTTCTGCCCTTCCTTGTCTCTCTGTCTTAGAGAAAGGGGCAGAAATAGTCTCTCTCTCTCTCTCTCTCTCTCTCTCTCTCTCTCTCTCTCTCTCTCTCTCTCTCTCTTCTCTCTCTCTCTCTCACATTCTCCTCCTCCCCCCCAAGAAAAAAATTAAATTATTGGCATATGTCTCACCAGAAAATGTCAATCGACAAACTTTGCTCTTTGACCAGAAAGCTAACAGTATATAAGATGATAAAAGATACATTCTTTATATAGCCCTACTACAGACCCTTCTGAGGCCTGTAACATCCATTACAGGGAGTAAAGCATACTAAAATCAAGACCTCATTTCAGCGTGTTTATTTTCAAGCAGGGAGAGTTGAGATGGAAGAATAGAAGAACGTTATGATACTTTCTTCTCTACTGACTCCCACCTGCCTCTTAGGAGAGGTAAAGCAGAAATAAGAGGATTTCAAAATGATAAACCATGTTCTGATCTCCATCATCCCCACAGCAATCCATAGGCATGCTTTTCCTCATCTTCCCTTTCCTGACAGGCATGTTGAGGTGTTCAAGCAGTTCCCCTTGCACCTCTGATTGTTTTGCCAGGCCCTGGATGACTGCCCAAGAGTTTTGAACCCTGGAGATCAATTCCAGTTGAGACAGCCCCTCTGGCATTACACTTGTCCTCTGCTGCAGATATTTCTGACTAATGGTGTGTACTTCTGGCCTTCTGTGCAGACAGCTGTTGATGTGCTCTTGGGGGGGGGAGGTGTTTGAAAGGGCCTCCTGCCAAATAATTCATCTCCCAATGGCCCTGCCACAGGAGTACCTAAAATCCTTGCTTTATTCACTCCTCTGAGTTAAAGTATTTAGATAATCATAGTTAAAGTATTTAGACAATTATATTTTCCCATTGGCATAGATATTAGAAAATTGAAAATTGAGCTGTATTGAAATGCAGGCATTATTTTGGAAGGTTCATCAGCTACTTATATCTTAGCTCTTTTTGGCTTTTCAAAGTGGCTAATGATGTATCTAGCAACTAATATGAGAGTAGCCTATAGTAAGGGTAAGTTTTGGAAAGAGAGAAAGCTTATTGCATGAATTCTATGTGTAAGCTTGATTTAAGAGACTAGGAAGAGTGCTTAAGGAAAGGGGGTATGGTAACATGACAAAGATAAACTGCCTACATGGTCACCGTTATCTAAATCTGGCTCTTGGATATGTTTACCCATCAACAAACATTTTTAGGCACTATACGCTAAACATTTTGTTAGGTGCAAGGGATGCAAAAAAAAGAAAAAGAAATAAAAAAGCAGAGAGGGAGGAAAGGAAGAAAAAAGGAAGGAAGGAGGAAGGAAGGAAGGGAGGGAGGGGAAGAAGGGAGGGAGATCCTGCTTTTAAGAAGCTTACCTTCTACTGAAGCAAGAAACACACGCATATCAGTCAATCAACAAACATTAAGTGCCTATAATGTGTCAAAGACTGTTAGGTTTGAGGGATACAAGTATATAGAATAAATATATACAGAATAAATACAAAGTAGTTAGGAGAGGACAGTAGCATCTAGAGAATTGGGAAAGGCTTCATGTATTTCTTTCTCCTTTTGCATCAGTTCCTATTCCATTTCTCTACATTCTTTTTTTTTTTTGTATTCTCTTTATCTTTCTGTCTCCTTCAACTCCTTTTTTCTTCTTCACTCATTTAACACCTGCTTCCCGTCTGCCCCCTCACATGACCTAGCCTCTGCTGCCATGAAAGCCCTCTCTCTTCTGTTCAAAATGAAATCCTGAATATGTGATGTGGGTGGCAGTCCTTCTGTTCATCCCCTCCTCTTTGACTCTGTTTTCCAGCCTCCCGTGAAAGGCTCATAGGCTCATCTTTCCTCTTTGTCTCATACCTCTTAATTTTTCTCCCCATCTGTTTCCACTTTGTTCAATTCGAACTTGGTTTTGTTCCTTTCTCTAAACTAAGAACTCTAGGGTTATTCAATGCATTTTGTACCAGTGACTCTAAACAAAGGGTGTTGAACCAGATTGTTTCCTTCTTTGTTTGTAGCTAGAAACTTAAAATGCTTTCTGTTTAGTTGATTACTTTTTTCAGAGTAGAAAAAAAGTTTTCAATTCAATGAACATAAACAGGAGCCTGATTTTAAACACCATGCCAGCACCATGATACAAACTGATGTATGTTTTCCTGTTTAAAAAAAACCTCAGAACAATGAACATATGAAGGAAAGGATTGGTCAACACTCCGATCGGCATGTAAAACTTAAGTTGTTGAGGGTTTTTTTCTTCCGTGTTTCATATAACTGAATGTATAATTACTAAATGATAGTACAAAATCTGATTTCAGATTGAGTAAAACTAACCCATCTTTTTCTTTTCTTTTTCTCTTATATGTGTGTGTCTGTCTGTGTCTCCCTATGAATGCTTATACCTATTTGGATCCTGTGTGTTTTAGGATGAAATCTTGACTGTAATCAGGAGAGTCGATGATAACTGGGCAGAAGGAATGCTGGGAGATAAGATTGGAATTTTCCCTCTCCTCTACGTGGAGGTAAGGTCATATCTCTGAGCAGGGCTTCTTCTTTTGCCAATGTTGTTTGTCTAACTAGAAACAGCGGCAACTTAACCTTGATGTTCCATTTTCCTAAGAGAGAAACAGGTTATTTGGGAATAACATAAAGTCTGATAACTGCTGCACATGGGTTTGGTCCAGGGCTCCTTGGTAATCCTAGGGATGTCCTCTCTGCCAGCATAGATTGAATTTGGAACAGCTCTGGCTACAAATCATCCTCTGACATGTGGGGGATGAGGACAGGATGCTCAGGTTGGGTGTGCAGTATACTCTCCAGTGAAGCTCAGTTGACTCCACTGTATTTGTGCCCTTTTTCCCAAGGTTCTCACTGATGTTGTCATATTTCTCCAGATCAGGGAGGACAGTCTTGACAGCATTTTTTAATGCAGAGTCGCTACTTTCCAATGATTCTTCAAACAGATCTAAATCTCTTGTTGCTGAGCTCAAAGAGAATATTTCATGTGCTTCCTGTAAATCTTACCCAGTTCTCTGGATTTGGGGGCTCCCTAGGAGAATCTGAGGTTTATGAGGTGACCTCTCATATAATTTCCTGTCTGTTCCATGGGAATGTGTCCCAAATCTCCAGCTTCCTAGTGGATAAATTGGTTAAGTGTTGCTGAATGGGAAATAGCTTGGAAGTTGTGGCCATGTTCTATAAATAACTACAGTTCAAGCTGTGTTTAAAAAAAGAAACACTATATGTTTGCTTATCTATAGATTTAGACCATCCTGGTCCAGTTGTTCTCTCTTTTTGCTTTTTTATCTTGTAATCAAATGAGGGAATATTATGTTAACCCACATCGTCTCTCAGATGTAAGCCCTTATTCTGTTTCAGTTATCCCCACCATCAGAGCCATTTAGAGGTGTCCACAGGTATATGGCATCTGTCTATTTACCCCTTTGTCCCGCTAATGTCCCCCCACCCCTGTACATACTCGTCATCTTTCCTTTCAGCATTGAGGTATTAGTAATTTTTTTTGTTTTTACCAAGCATTCATATAATGCCTTAAGGTTTTGCAAAATGCTTTGTGCATGTTATCTCATTTGTGCCTCCTAATGACCCTGTGAGGTAGGTGCTATTATTATCCCCATTTTATAGATGAGGAAACTGAGGCAGGCAGAGGTTAAATGACTTGTTGAGGGTCACAAATGCCTGAGGCAGAATTTGAACTCTAGTCTTCCTGACTCCATATGCAACATATTGCAACATTGATCTAGTACCAGTCATATTTAAAGTCTTTGAAGTGATACTAGAGGAAATCTTAAAAGGCAGACATGAAGAGTTTAAGTTTCCTCAGGCTTCCCATCCCTACAGTGTCCTTCCTCTCTTCTCTAAAAAGGAGTTTGGAACTCTGCTTCTCTGGTTCTTCAGTTCTCTTACAATTCTGCCACACCTCAGGGTCCTAACCCCACTGCCTCAGAAGCACAGCTCACTTTCACTCGTCTGCTGATCTGGAGGCACTGACCTAGAAGCTCGGAAGTCTGGGTTCTCCACAAACATACTGTGAACACTTCACAGATGCCACATCCTCTCAATGTGGAGGTTTCTCCATTTGTACAGTGAGAAGAACCCTTTCGTGACTTTCCCTCCTCTAACTGAGCTATCATTCCACTCTCACAATTATTTTAGGTCATTTTCATTTCCCAGACCATGGCAAGGACCTAAAGTCTAAATCAGTATGTTGTACTTCCTTCACTATAATTACTAATCTGGGACATTGTAGAGAAGATTCTATGAAGGTATGGCTGAGACTCAATGATCCTTAAAGTCATTCTCAATTCTGAAATTCAGAGGGAATTCAGCTTCAAATAGTTATTCTCTCTGCAAGAGACATCAGGGGAAGCCTTCTTTGTCTTTTTTTTTTTTAAATACAGCTTCTCACCTAACATCCCATGAATCCATTCACAAGATCTTGTCACCATGCACCAGACTGTGATGAGTTTTCTTTTCCCCCCATCTATAAGGGCTTCCTCAGTGCGACAGGAAGGCCTGATGCTACGTGTGTAAGTTCAGCCAGAGTTCCCTTTGTCTTCAGGAACAGCTGATGAGTTCACTCAGAGTCATTCTGTAGAAGCGCATAGCTGTTTTTCTGTCCTTTCCCTCAAATTTAGTCTCTATCCATTTCCTTAGTACCTTCCTCATACATTGTATTGGAAGGGTCCTTGGGTTCTTATGCTGGTTTGTGATATAGGGATATTCCTAGTATTGTGTTTTCTAAGTAGCCTTCTGTGTGGATAGCCAAGGTTTTGGATGGGAAATGGCGCAGCTATTTGATCAGCAAATGGTGCCACACACCTCTATTTATAGGCACTGCTTGAAGCCAAATAGGCTAAAACAACTACTTCCTCTACATCTTGATTCTGCAATTGTTTAGATAGATAGATAAATAGATAGATAGATAGATAGATAGATAGATAGATAGATAGATAGATAGAAAGAAGATAGATGACAGCTAGATGGATGTTATGTATATATGTATCTATAAATATTTGTGTATAAGACATGGTATGTATGTATATATGTGTGCATGTACACACAGATGTCATCAGTGTTACCATTATTGTCATCACCATCATCTTTTCACCAGGGCAAAAATGGAACCCCCATGTAATGGGAGTATAACATCATATATATAATGTACAATAATATAACATAATATATTACAATATATTGATCAGTTATAATTAATATATAACATAATGTGTTGATTATGTTAATACATTTATCAATACTATAATATACAATATTGTACACATGTGTATATGAATGCATATATACATATATGTATATGGTTTATATGTATATACATGCTATGTCATATATAAACATACATATATGCACACGTGCGTGTATACATATTATATATTATATGTACATATTGTATAGTGCTTTATATTTGTATATATGTATATACATACGTATGTCTGTGTTTATTAATTGGCTCCCCTCTCTGAGGTGATTAAGGCACTGTGCAAAATGCAATCCATTACTTTTGCCCTTCTGCAGTTTGCTTAATGCATTGCAAATGAAAATGTAAATGAAGACCTCCCTTCCTGAGCAGAGGGTTCATGTCTTCTGGTGATGGGGTTATTGTCAGCCGTGGAAGCCCCATCTTCTTCAGGGTTTCCACTGGATGATAGATTGGCAGGTTACAGTAAAAATCTTGTTGGGACTTACATTTTCTGCACACTGTTTAAAGTGGGATATGACAATGTTAACTTTGTAAAATCACTACATAGGAGTTCTAATTTTTCCCCTGAAAAAGATGGTGGGGATGACAATGATGGTAACACTGATGACAGCAATAGACCTTTATATATGTCTTTAAGGTTTGCAAAATGTTTTGCAAACCATATCTCACTGAACCTCACAAAAACCCTGTGAGGTAAAGACTACAGGTATAGTTCATTCCCATTTTATACATAAGAAAATTGAGGTCCTCCTCCAAAAATATTTTACTTTGTCATGGTCATGGTCACCCAGCCACAAAGTGTCAAAGATGAGATTTGGATCCCTCTGTAGAGCAAAATGGAACAAGAGTATGATGATTGTAAATTGAGACATTTATTGTCCCTTCATTGAGTGTGTTGAAACACCTGAATTGCATGTAAGGGAGTTTCCACAAGACAGGTCCACTGACACTTCTGCAAAGCATCTTCCTTCAGGGACAAGGGAGAAAAGAAATCTTACAGAAACAGAAATATTGTGGAGGTTGCTTGCTTTGGGCCTTATTTCCAGAGACTGAGTGTTGTGCTTGCAGATGTATACAGTGTTGATATGCCATGAAACATCTTAGAAAGAATTTCTTATAACTATCTGACTAACTGGGAAAAATAGCTGAGCCAATTAATACCAGATCAATCTTTGCTTTAAATCTGAATGTTCATAGTAACATCTGGCTCTTCCACCTTGGACCTTTTCCCATTAATCCTAATGAGTCATTGATCCCCAAAAAAACTTTTCTTGGTACTTGCATATCCCCTTTTCTCTTCCCAGTTTTTATTTCTATTCTCCCTGGAATTTCTTATTTAATAAGATTTTTGCTTTTTTTTTGCTTACCAAATGTTCCAAATCCTTCATCCTTTCTCCTCCTGCCCTCATCCCCAAATGGCTGTGATCAAACCCCCCAACCTATGGCAAACCTAATTAGCCCTTATAGTTTCTGCCTGATACTTTGTCCACCATTAAGAGAATTTCCCCTGATATCTCTTTTCCAACCTTTTTGGTAGTGGAATGCTTTGTAATCATTTCTATTTGTTTCAGAATATATTTATTCTAATGGGGATAGAACTAAAAGTACCAAAATGACAAAAGTATATTATAAAACAATTTCCCTCTAATAATTCCAGGACTGACGTTGTTGTTTAAAGCACAAAAATGTGATATTTTAAACATTTCATCAGCAAAAATGTACTAAGCCTCTTCACAGGTTGATGTGATGGGTCCCCATACAAAGTGAGTTAAGCAGACATCACCACTGTATCCTAACAACTTAAATTCCGAAGCTGATGATTTTAACATAAAGATAAAGGGCATGCAAACTCATCTCATTTCCTTTTTGGATAGGGCTAACATGGTTTTTCTTAATCATATCCAAAAAGGAAATGAGATGAATTTACATTAACATGGTTAATAGAAAGGCAGTGTGGAGTATAGTGGTTTGAGGGCTATTGTGGACTGGGCCTGATAGAGACTGGTCTTGTACTTCAGATTTGGAACTGGAACAGAAGAACCACTCATGGACTATCTAATAGTTACAAAGAAGAGGTTCAATTAGCCATAGCAGGGAAAGTGTGTTAAGCATGGAAACAGCATTGATTCAGCTTTGTTGCCTCTCCATTGGTCATGCTGGCTCATTGGTCAGAAACAACCCCTGACTCTTCATAGTAAAATTTTTGTACTTACTCCACCAGGAAGCTAAGATAATGTCAGGAGTCTTAGTCCTCTGAGCCGATTGAGTCTAAAGAATGGTTTACTT